GTCGGTGGCGGGCGGTGACGACCGGGTCGACCGCCGTCCGGTGACTTGTGATGCTCTTTGAGCTCTTGAGGACGAGGTCATTCGTGATCGGAGCTCCGCTGAGCGCCATGCTGAAGTAGTATATCGCTGTGCGGACGCTCTTGACGATATAAAGCACGTCGTGCGCCGGCTGCCTCGCCTTGAGGACTACCGCTCTCAGTCGGAGCGACTCCAAGCCGTGGAGCAGGCGAAGGCATCACTGCAGGCAAGGTGGAGCGCTCGGCTCTATTGGAAATGGAGGTTGTTGCACTCCGTACTCAGAGCCAGTTGCTGGTTCAGCTTCTGGGTGGCCGAGGACCAGTGGGATCCGCTCCGGCACCAACGCTTCCGCGTTCACTTGCGCCGGATCCCGATCCGGCTTGAGCAATCCCACGTAAAACACCGGGTGGGTTGAATCCGTTTTTGGAAGGTTCAGCGTATACGCTATGCCCCGCTTGACCACAACCCTAAACGGTCCGACAAACCGTGGATGTAGCTTCGTCCTGAGGATAGCAGAGGCTGCATGTGAAGACAGCTTTTTAGAATTTAATACAACCAGATCCCCGACCTTAAACCTTTCCACTTTGCCTCTTCCTTTTTCATCTGCATATTCTTTTTGCAGGTCTTGGCTTTCAGCCATCGCATCGCGAACGTATCGTTGGACACTCAGTCTGGTAGACAAGGAGTCATCGACTTTTTTACGGATGGTGAGGGGGCTGACATCAGCTAGCCGTTCGGATATTCCTCCCCCACCAAGCCCTGAGCCATGGGATGGCGGCGTCAGCGGGACGCGAGTGTGAATCAGCCCGTTCACGTAGAACGGCGTATAGCCGGTAGACGAATGCACTGCATTGCTCAATGCGAACTCTAGTGGCAACTTGGCGCTTGAGCGCCTCGGCGTCTCAGTGCAGACGCTGTGAAAATCGTCTTTGATGACTCGAATTACCCTTTTCGTTTGACCATCGGTCTGCGGATGGTCCGCCGTCGACATATCCGTTCCGAGCACCTTGAAGATAGTCGACCAAAATTTCCGTGAAGCGGGGGTCTCTATCAGTTACAATCAATTCTAAGAGTCCCTGTTGACGGAAAACACAATCCACGACCAGCGTTGCTGTACCGACTCCGTCGATGGTGTCTGTCACCGCCGCCAAATGAGTCATCTTGCTCAACCAGTCGACGAGTACCACGACACCCGTGTTAA